GGGAATCCGGGCCTTCCAGGACTTCCTGGTCCAGCAGGATACCGAGGCGTGAAAGGAGACAGGGTACGTGGCACGAAAAAACGATTTCTGACAAATCATCTCACCAATCATAACACAAGCGAGTGTTGAACAGGCTCATCCAAACACATGTCAGAATCATGGTGAGTGTTGCCATCACAGGCCGTAAATCCTTTGATTCCACTCACTGAGAGCTTTTTTGGCTCAGCCTTTAACGGAATCATGAGAACTGCACTTCATTACGTTTGCAATGGAGAAAGAGAAACTTTTTTTTGTCCAAAACACGCCTTTACATGCCTCCAAAACACGAGATAATCAAACTTAGTTGGGTTTTTTTCTATGGAGTTTAGTCGGGTGGAACTAAACAGTAGCTTTCATTGATTTATTCAGCCGCTATTAATGATTTAACTGTTTTCCGTAACAGCTTTTCATGTTGCCATAATAATTGTGCTCTACTTCCCTCAGGGCGCAGTTGGTCTTGATGGTCCGAAGGGTGATCAGGTATTCTTGATATGTTGTCGTATTATCAATTTCCTGACCATCAGGCAGATTGGATCAGATAAAAGGACAAAAATCTGTCTTTTTTTAGGGACCTGCAGGTGCTGAAGGAACACCAGGAGATAGCGGAGATCTGGTGAGTGACACCTGTTGACAGCAGGATTCACCCTCCAAGAGGGAAGCAACCAATCAGTTATCAGGAGGGCTGTAGTTCAGTTCTTACTTATAAAACACGACAAAACCATGTAGATATATCTTTAGACTCGATTTTCTGTAAATGTGTCTTTCGTATCTTTTGCATTTCAGGGGGATCAAGGAGAACCTGGAGAGAAAGGATCGGTACGTGTCCCTGATCAGAATCTCATCGATATCCCTGAGTTTGCGAAGACACGTTTCAATGCCGCCCTCTTCCTGTTGGTAGCTGCCGTTCAGTGTTTTGGATGCTGTCGTTGATCGCAGTCAGGCCCGCCAGGAGAGACGGGAAGCAAAGGACCCGAGGGGGGCCGAGGACTGCCGGGCAAAGAGGGCAAGCCGGGCCAGCCGGGACCACGAGGCATGCAGGGAGACACGGGCGTGCCGGGACTCCCAGGAGGACAGGGACCAGCGGTGAGGAGTGGGACCTCCTCAATCAGGCCCCCTTGGGGTCATTTGAAGCAGATGAATATTGAGTCCTGAACAGCCCTCGCAATGGATAGCTAAGCGCCACACAATCACCACTAAGGTGACACTTTTAAGCAGGGGTTCCCAAACCTTTCAGGCCACAACCTCAAAATGAATGATGTAAGAACGTCTCTGAAGCTTAAAACTCAGGCGTGGTGCTCAGGCATCCACTCCTTGGCCCATTCAACCACAGGGGGACAGAACTTGAATACTGACCAGTAGCAAAACTAAAATCTAAAACCTAGCCTCACCCTAGCCCTTATACAGTCTGCAGGAGAAGCACGTTTACAGGAGGGCAAAATGTTCGTTCTATCCTGGATTGGACTTGGAGACAATATCCAAGACCAGTCATGTGCTGTGATTAAGTCATGAGCTTATGATTAAGATACAAGAACAGAAAAAGTCATTTTGTAAATGTATGAGACATCCACAGCAGCCTGAGGATTTCACAAAACACTGTCTCTGAAGATGGAGCAGTGCGCACAGGTAGTTTGTGCTCGTTTCGTGCTGCTCATTTGGGTCAATCTGAAAAATGTTCTAGGAGCTTTACCCAGGTATCCAAGAGAACAAAGCAAACAAGTAACAACATTGCAATAGATGTTTTTGTAAATTCCTCTTGCCACGTATCAGACACTTTTATCCAGTTTGATCCTGTTTGTAAAAGGCTATTTTCGAGCCTAATGCACCCGGCCTAGGGTTATTTCTGTTATTTAAGTACAGAAAATGTGAAGTGGGATCACAGACTTTGCTCACTTCAGTGCTGTATGTGGGACTCTTTTTATGGGCCCCTCTGACTGTTATCACCTCAGAATATGGAGAGCCAAGTACATGTAAAATCTTTGTTTATTACAGGGGAAATCACCCAAAGATACTCACATCAAGCAGGTCTGCATGAGGGTAATGCAAGGTAAGCTGACTGCTCATCGTCATGTGTAGGAACACCTCATGACTGAAATTGAATTAATTCCTTTTCCCTGTTAAGAACCAAAACACAGCAGAAGTTATCTCAATGCAATCCAAAGTACAATTCAAGTCAATGAGAATCAAATTCAGGCGGCATGGTGGTGTGGTGGTTAGCACCGTCTCCTCAAAGTAAGAATGTTCTGGGTTTCGAGTCCCCGGGGGAACCAGTACCTTTCTGGGTGGAGTTTGCACGTCATCCCTGTGTCTTTGGGTTCTCTCCGGGTTCTCCGGCTTCCTCCCACAGTCCAAAAACCTGCATGTTAGGTTGATTGGACATTCCAAACTGCCCTTAGGAGTGAGTGTGAGTGGTTGTTGGTCCTTGTGTGTCTCTGTGTGGCTCTGAGATTGACTGGGGACCGTTCAGGGTGTACCCCGCCTCTCACCATTGACCAATGGGATAGGGTCCAGTTTCCCCCGTGACCCCATTAGGGAATAAGTGGTTACGATAATGGATGGATGGATTGAGAATCCTATTCGTTCTGTCCACTGATGCATTCATTTTCTATACCTGCTTATGTTAAGTCACAGAGGGCACTTGAGCCTGACCAATGGGGCGCAAGGCAGGGGACAGTCTGGACAGGTCACCAGTAACAGCCGCATCATTCCAACGTAACCATTTAGAATCAAACTAAATGAACCCCAAATTACTTCAGTTCATACAGAAACAAATCAAAAAAGTTTGTTTCCTGGCTAAACAACCAACAGGTTGCACTAAAGCATCACTTTGACCCAATCAGTCTGGGCCTATAGAGGGGGGAGAGGTGCATCATGGGAGCCCCCAGAGGGAGGAGAGGTGCATCATGGGAGCCCCCCCAGCAATCTGGGCATATAGAGGGGGGAGAGGTGCATCATGGGAGCCCCCATGATGCTTCCTGAACCCAGACTGGTTCCTCAGAGGGGGGTGGGTCTGCTTCCTGAACCCAGACTGGTTCCTCAGAGGTGGGTTCTGCTTCCTGAGCCCAGACTGG